AGAGAGGGAGAGAGGGAGAGGAAAGGAAAGAGAGCGAGAGGTAAGGAGGGAGGGAGAGAGAGAGAGAGATGGAGAGGAAGAGGGAGAAGGAAGTAGGGAGGGAGCAAGTGAGGAGAGAGGAAATGAGGAGGGAGAGGAAGCGGGCAAGGGAGTGGGAAAGGGATGGGGAGGGAGGGGAGAGGGAGAGGGAGAGGGAGAGGGGAGGGAGAGGGAGAGGGGAGGGAGAGGGAGAGGGAGAGAGAGAGAGAGAGAGAGAGAGAGAGAGAGAGAGAGAGAGAGAGAGAGAGAGAGAGAGAGAGAGAGAGAAGAGAGAGAGAGAGAGAGAGAGGGAGAGAGGAGAGAGAGAGAGAGAGAGAGAAGAGAGAGAAGAGAGAAACAGAGACAGAGACAAAGACAGAGAGACAAAGAGAAACAGAGGGACAGTCAGACATCGAGAGAAAGAAGGGAGCCCCAAACACGCAGTCCAGCAGACACCCATCGCAAGCAGATAGCTGAGCAGGCGAGACAAGGCGCGGGAGGGTTAAGCAGCTGAATATGTTGGCCACGCCAGCAGGGGAGACAAGCAGGTAGGTAGGCAGATAAGCAATCAGGCAGACAGGAAATTGGCAATCAGGCAGAGGCAGTCAGGCAGGTAAGGTAGCGTGGGTGAGCAGCATAGGAATCCTGGGTTTGTGGGTTTGGGCGGGGTAACGGGAAGGGAGAAAAGGGAGAGGGAGGGAGGGAGGAAGAAAATGGAGAGGGAGGGAGGGAAGAAGAAAATGGAGAGGGAGAGAGAGGTAGGGAGAAAAGGGAGAGGGAGGGAATGAGTGAGAAAAGGGAGAGAGAGGGATAGAGAAAATGGAGAGGAAGGGAGAGAGAGGGATAGAGAAAATGGAGGAGGGAGGGAGAAAAGGGAGAGAGGGAGGGAGGGAGAGACACACACAGGAGGGTAAGAGAGGAGGAGGAGGTTTGGGAAGAAGGGATAGGAAGTTAGTAGAACAGAAGAATGGGGTAAGAAAGAGAATACACAAGAGAAAATGAAAATGGGTAAAACAAAAAAAGAAAAAAGAAAATGTAAGAGAGAGAATAGAAGGCACATAAAAAACAGAAAAAGCCAGAAAAGAAATAACCAAGAACACAGGAAAGACGGCAAACGAACAACCGAACCCCCAAAAAGTGAAAAAAGCAAGAAAGGAAAGAGGAAAAAACAAAAGAGACAATAAAGAGAGAGAGAAAAAACAAAAACCGACCTGGAAACCCACGCCGAGGAGGGCCCAAAAATCGACGACCTCAGCCCTTTCCGCCCACACCTCGCAGCCATCACGCCCGCACCGCCATACATCAGAGCAACAGCATGTGCCTGGTGAGCGCCCTCCTCGCCCGCGTCATACACGCTGCATGACGCGGACATCTGCATGACAGGGCGCTTTTGTCGGGGAGATTACGAGACACGTTCAGAGGGTATGAGAGAATGCTGTGTCGCCCAGGAAGAGAGGGGGGGGGAGGAGGAGGAAGAGGAGGGGGGAAGGGAGATGGAGGGAAAAGGAGGAGAGGAGGAGGGGAGGAAGGGAGGAGAAAGGAGGAGAGGGGGAGGGGGATGGAGGGAAGGGGAGAGGAAGGAGGGAAATGGAGGGAAAGGAGGAGGAGGAAGAGGGAGGAGGAGGGAGGAAGAGGTGGAAGTGAGAGAAGGGTGAGGACGAAGATAGAAAAAAGAGAAAATAGATGGGGGTGTGAAAGAAAGAAAGAAAGGGAAAACGGCTAGAAGGATCATTTACCTATGAGAAACAGAAAGAAAAAAAGAAAGAAGAAAGAGAGAGGAAGAGAGAGAGAGAGAGGAGAGAGAAGAGAGAGAGAGAGAGAGAGAGAGAGAGAGAGAGAGAAGAGAGACGAGAGAGAGAGAGAGAGAGAGAGAGCGCACCCTGACGAAAGGAAGGGGCGGCCCTCGAGTCCGTGCGTGTGTGTTCCTGTGCCGCCCACCCGCCCCGCCCCAACCCGCCGCCCACCTTCCCCCGCCGGCACCGAACTATGAGCAAACAAGTCCCGCAGGAATGGTAATGTCTACACGCAGATTCCACGCCGCCACTTCCGACGGCGCGGCGACCCGACATGCCGACACGCCGCGCCGTCCCCCTCGCCGCCCTGAGTTCGAAATGAGTGAATGAGTGAGTGGCGGGCGCCCTCTGCACGCGGCGCCCTCCCGCTCTCGCCAGTCTGCGCTCGTCCGGGTGGGCGTTTCCAGGCACGCGGGCGCACTCGCTCTCTCGCATCAACAGGTGTGTGCGTATGTGCGGGGAGAGGAGAAAGGGAGGGAGGGGAGGGAGGGAGGGAGAGAGGAGAGGGAGAGGGAGAGGGAAGGGAGAGGAGAGGAGAGGGGAGAGAGAGAGAGAGAGAGAGAGAGAGAGAGAGAGATGAGAGAGAGAGAGAGAGAGAGAGAGAGAGAGAGAGAGAGAGAAGAGAGAGAGAGAAGAGAAGAGAAGAGATTAAGAGAGTTAGAGAGAGGAGGAGAGACAGTGAAGAAAGGAAAGAAGAGGAGAAGAGAGGAGAGAACTCATGAACACCCCACGTCCAACAGCCACACCGCATCCCCGCCATGAAAATCAATTCTCCCGCAGATATATCTACTCATCAGAAGCCCACATCAAAATCGCACGACCGCCGATGCACACACGCCGCCGGTGTGACAGGAGAGTCGCTGGCAGGAGACGGGAAAGGACGTGCAGATTTCCCCATCATCCTAAGCACCTGTACCTGCGTCCATATATTCCAGGAACAGCGCCGCTCCAAAAAAGATTTTTATCTAAACATCCTGTTAAAAGTGATAAGGTATCGCAATCAAGAGGTCCTCCGGCCAAACCCGCATGCCAAGGGATCTAAAGTAAGAACAATTAAACAGGTTCCGCGTGGCAGATGGCCTAATGGCAATCTGCATCACATGACACGGCCATAAATATGAACAAGTCACAAACATGTTTACCAGTCCTTTCCCGGGCTATTGCAACACATGCTATGAACACAAGCCGGCGTTTGGCCATTCGGGGACAAAAACGCCCGTCAGCGACTCTGGGCGTCCGTGAGGGTATGCGCCCCAGTGTGTGCAACACGGAGAGAGGGGGGGAGTGCGTGCGCGCGGGCGTGTANATGGGCTAAAAATAAACCGTATGTATTTTGTTACGTGAACTGCTAGTACAGGCAAGCCTCTCCATTACAGATACCATACACATTATTACATGAAGAAAGAAAAGTATTCTATGTAAACAATACACATATCATGAAGAAATGGAAAAGATCTATGTAACATACACATATACATGAAGAAATGAAAAAATCTATGTAACATTACACCATATACATGAAGAAACTGAAAAGATCTAAGTACACTACACATCATACGTGAAGAAATGAAAAGATTCTATGTAACCACAACATATAACCATCCTGAAGCAACCACATCGCAACACACAGACTCCCACCTGCTCACACCCTCTACACCCACCACTAACTCCGAAGGCAAACTCGAACCACAACGCACCCCTCCCTGCTCAACATACACAACTATCACATGCAACGAAAAATGCACCAAAGACTTCATGCCTACCAACCAGCAACTCATACCATGCACAGCACATGAACACATCTCACCTGCTAACATACACACCTATCACCATCGCGAAGGCAATTGCACAAAGATCTATGTAAAACATACACATATACGTTGAAGAAATGAAAAGATCTATGTAACATTACACATATACGTGAAGAAAATGAATTGAAATTGACTAAAATAAGATGAAAAATCTATGTAACATTACACATATAGAAGAAATGAAAAAGATCTATGTAACATTACATATATACATGAAGAAATGAAAAAGATCTATGTAACATACACATATACATGAAGAAATGAAAAGATCTATGTAACATACACATATACATGAAAATGAAAAGATCTATGTAACATACACATATACATGAAGAAATGAAAGATCTATGTAACATACACATATACATGAAGAAATGAAAAGATCTATGTAACATACACATATACATGAAGAAATGAAAAAGATCTATGTAACATACACATATACATGAAGAAATGAAAAGATCTATGTAACATACACATATACATGAAGAAATGAAAAGATCTATGTAACATACACATATACATGAAGAAATGAAAAGATCTATGTAACATACACATATACATGAAAGAAATGAAAAGTCTATGTAACATACACATATACATGAAATGAAAAGATCTATGTAACATACACATATACATGAAGAAATGAAAAGATCTATGTAACATAACATATACATGAAGAAATGAAAAGATCTATGTAAACATACACATATACATGAAGGAATGAAAAGATCTATGTAACATACACATATACATGAAGAAATGAAAAGATCTATGTAACATACACATATACATGAAGAAATGAAAAGATCTATGTAACATACCACATATACATGAAGAAATGAAAAGATCTATGTAACATACACATATACATGAAGAAATGAAAAGATCTATGTAACATACACATATACATGAAGAAATGAAAAGATCTATGTAACATACACATATACATGAAGAATGAAAAGATCTATGTAACATACACATATACATGATGAAAAGATCTATGTAACATACACATATACATGAAGAAATGAAAAGATCTATGTAACATACACATATACATGAAGAAATGAAAAGATCTATGTAACATACACATATACATGAAGAAATGAAAAGATCTATGTAACATACACATATACATATTAAAAGATCTATGTAACATACACATATACATGAAGAAATGAAAAGATCTATGTAACATACACATATACATGAGAAATGAAAAGATCTATGTAACATACACATATACATGAAATGAAAAGATCTATGTAACATACACATATACATGAAATGAAAAGATCTATGTAACATACACATATACATGAAGAAATGAAAAGATCTATGTAACATACACATATACATGACGAAATTAAAAGATCTATATAGACGTTACATTACCTTTGGCTGTATTTAGAAGGTGTGGTCCATGGGCAGGCAAGTGTTCCACGAGAGTGCAGGTACGACAGCAAAACCTCGCAATGTAATCGGTGACGCTGCACTCAGTACTCAGGTACCTCACGCAGTCATCGTGGTCAATCACGTCGGTGCAGTTGGGATGAATTGTAACATCTGAAGGGAAATGGCGAGTTGTTCAGATTGTCCCATGAACAACGTTTGGCAGTGAGTGAAAAGAAGAGTTGACATAGTGGGGCCTTGTTTAATGCTGTTGGTTATGGGATGGCGAGTTGTTCAGATTATCCCATGAACAACGTTTGGGCAGTGAGTGAAAAGAAGAGTTGACATATGGGCCTTGTTAATGTTGTTGGTTGTGGGATGGAAGTTGTTCAGATTATCCCAAGAACAACAATTGTGCAGTGAGTGAAAAGAAGTTGACATCGGGGCCTTGTTTAATGTTTTTGGTTGTGGGATGGAAGTTGTTCAGATTATCCCAGAACAAGTTTGGGCAGTGAATGAAAAGAAAGAGTTGACATATCGGGGCCTTGTTTAATGTTGTTGGTTGTGGGATGGAAGTTGTTCAGATTATCCAAGAACAACTTTGGGCAGTGAATGAAAAGAAGAGTTGACATAGTGGAGCCTTGTTTAATGTTGTTGGTTATGGGATGATTGTTCAGATTATCCCAAGAACAACAATTGTGCAGTGAGCGAAAAGAAGAGTTGACATATTGGGGCCTTGTTTAATGTTGTTGGTTGTGGGATGGAAGGCCTGGATCCCCCACACGTAGGAATCATAGTCAGGCGGAGTTCAGCACTTTCGAGAATTATACCTGGACGATACGTTAGAAGCATGTAATGAACAATGAGGCATCACACGCGACTGGGTTTGTGGTCCACTTTATTACCGTGAATTTTAACGTTTATTTATTATTATATTATTTATTATTTATTATTATTATTATTATTATTTATTATTATTTATTATTTTTATTATTATTTATTTATTATTTATTACGTTTATTTATTACTTTATTACTTTATTACTTATTTGTGGTACCACTTTATTACTCTATTACCGTGAGATATTCCAATGGAAAAGCGATATTCAGATAACTGGACGTATAAAAAGATGCAGTATGTTGATAAAATAGAGGGTCTGTAGATTTAACTGGTTAGAGTCCAAAAGTGCATTTATTCGTTCACTCTGCTAGTTGCTATTTAGGAATATATGTCCGGAAACGCACTTATAAAAACACCACCCACTTTTTCTTATTCTTACGGGTGTTACTGATATAACGTCGAACATGAAAATATAATTCTCTACTAAAATGCTACTTGAAGAATTTGATTTCAGCATATTTGGACCATGGACCTGGGGCCATCATAGAATGTCGATAAAGGCCTAAGATCTCGGCTATGGAACCTAGATTAATGTGACCTTAATACTCAATGACCAGTGTCTAAGTAAAGGTCAAGATATAATAGTATATTTCTTGAAAAATAGACGTGTGTGATTGAATACTAAAAAATATCTATATTGCCTGTTATGTTGTGATAACGTGAGCTTGTTCTTTGAAAGAAATAAGAGCTGAGTTGCCATTTCATAACATTTATACTTTTATATAGAATGTTAATGGCCGATACGTTAGAAGCATGTGTAGAAAAAAGGGCCATCACATCAATGGCCAAAGGCTCACCAACAGACTTTTGTGCATAAAGTTGTAAACAAAATCAAGATGGAACTATGGTAAGATGAGAGATATATGCTTGGAGACTTTTTTGGCCAAGAAATGCAACGTGTTTTAGATCAAATGCATGTTTTCTTCACATGCATCTCATTTTCCATTCACACGTTGCCGAGAAAGTTTGGAATCCTCCGGAGTAATCTAGAACTATTTTTGATAGATTCAGCCCCTACGACGCTTACTTTACCGTATCAACCTCTAGATGAAAAAAAAAACTAGAATTGCTACTTCGAAATAACTCAAAATCAGAATAAAGACACCAGAGAAACATTTTTTTTCCCGTGAGCCACACGTACTTACCTGTCACCTTGACCCTTATCTGGCTGGTGTCGGACCCGGCTTCGTTCGTCGCGTTGCAGATATAGCTCCCACTGTCGCTCTCGTCGGCGTTTTTGATGGTGAGTGTGTCCACCACTGTCGTTAGTAGTCGATCCACCGAACCGTTTTCTAAGATATCACCAAGAATGTCAGTTATCTAAATAAACAGGATCCTTAATTAACATCTTTTAAGAATGGATATTATGGATGCACACTATGAATGAGAAACCGAAAGATTTCATAATTCGCAAACTCTGAGAAACCGAAAGATTTCGTTATTCGCAAACCCCAATGGAATCTGAAGACGTTTACATACCTTTCCTCAAGTATTTCTCAGACTCTACAATCGCCTCGAAGTTCTTGTACCACGCGATACCAGGTGTTTGGTAGCCCTTGGCCTGGCACTTCAGAGTCACATCGACCCCGGCCGGATACAGCTGGTCCCTTGACGTGATGCGAGCTTGGATAGGGGCTGTTGGGAGGACAACTCATATCTTAAGTATACGTGAATTATTTGCTGTTGTACCTGACAGATCGTAAGAGGAATATTCTTTCTGTCATACAAAACATCTAAACGTAGTCAAGGAGTGGACCCGAGTTAGTTTTAAGGAGTTCCAAAGTTTAAGTTTAAAGTTTTTAAAAGTAAAAGTTTAAAGTTTAAGGAGACGTTTCAGTATTAGCTAAGGTGCCACGGCATTCAGAGTCTCGAAGAGTAAAATTTACGCCAGAACGGAGACCTCCATGACAGTACATTGAAGAACAAGACTGTCTGCAGAAAAATAATGAAAAAGTCACCACGGAAACGATGTATGAGATGGAATCCGAAGTATTATTGCGGAATAGTTAAAAGGATTAGAGTAACCATCTGTCTTCCACTTCCAAGAACAAGAAAGGGACAAGAAGTCGAAGACGAGACCAATCGTGGTGCATACTGGGTGTTGATTTTTCATTAGATGGTTAATGCCGCAACGGTATTCGAAAAGTGTGTGTGTGTGTGTGTGTGTGTGTGTGTGTGTGTGTGTGTGTGTGTGTGTGTGTGTGTGTGTGTGTGTGTGTGTGTGTGTGTGTGTGTGGATGCATACATACATATATACACACACATATAGATAGATAGATTTGTCTTGCAGTATTATCTGAAGCAGAGTCAAGTTATTGCGAATATTAGAGTCTGTCACAGAGATGATTCCAGGTGTATATGCAAACAAGTAAAAAAAACAAAAACAAAACAAAAAACACCTTTGTAGAGGAAAGAGTGATCGAGGTGGGCGGTTGAAGACAAAAATAAAGGGAGCGCCCACTCGAAGAAATTCTTGACTAAAATGTATTCAGAACTGAGCTGATTACGGGAGACAAAGGGATTATTAGACAGAGAACAACACTGGTCTACAACAAAGATGAACAATCCCACTATTTCACTCTCTCTATCTATCTATCTTTCTTTCTCTTCCTCTCTACCTCTCTCTCTCTCTCTCTCTCTCTCTTCCTCTCTCCCTCTCTCTTCCTGACTCCCTCTCTCTCTCTTCTCCCTCTTTCTCCCTTCCTCTCCTTCCTCCTCTCCCCTCTCTCTCCCCTCTCCCCCTCCTTCCCCTCTCTTCCCCTCTCTCCCCCTCTTCCCTCTCCCTCTCTCTCCCCTCTCCCCCTCCCTCTCTCCCCTCTCCCCTCTCCTCACTTTTCTCCCACTTACCTTCCGCTCTCAAATCAATGCTGCTGATGTTCCTCCCAGCCTGGTTCACCGCCACACAGAGGTACGTGTCAGCGTCCTCCCTCACAAAGTCCTTTATAGTGAGGTCGGATCTTGGTCGTTGTACGAGAGGGTTCAGCGCCGCACTCACTTATGAATAGAAGATATAATATAGATATATATTAATATTATAATATAGTTATATATTATATAGATATATATTATAATATAGATATAGATGGGTGGGTGGTAGGGTGGGTAGGGTGATAGGGTGGGGGTAGGGTATGGTGGGTAGGTGGGTGGATGGTGGGTGGGTAGGGTGGGTGGGTGGGTATGGTGGGTGGGTGGGTGGGTTTTTGGGTAGGGTGGGTGGGTGTGATTAGGTGGGTGGTGAGTGAGTGGGTAGGGTGGGTGGGTGGGTAGGTGGGTGGGTCATAGGGTGGTGGGTAGGGTGGGTGGGGTGGTGGGGTAGGTAGGGTGGGTGTTGGATGAGTATGTGGTGGGTGGTGGGTGGGTTGGGTGGGAATGGGTGGGATGGGTGGTGGGTGGGTGGGTGTGGTGGGTGGGTATAGTGGTGGTGGGTGGGTGGGTGGTGGTGGGTGGTAGGGTGGATGGGTGGTGGTTGGATGGTAGTGGTGGTTGGATGGGTAGGGTGGGTGGGGGTGGGTGGGTGGGGTGGGTGGGGGTGGGTGGTGGGTGGGTGGGTGGGTGGGTGGGGTGAGGGTGGGATGTGGGTGGGTGGTTGGATGGTAGGGTGGGTTGGGTGGGTGGGTAGGTGGTGGGTGGGTGGGTGGGTGGGTGGGTGGGTGGGTTGGGTGGGTGGGTGGGTGGTGGGTGGGGGTGGGTGGACTGGGGGGTGGGGGGTGGGTAGGGTGGATGGGTGGGGGGGGGTAGGTGGTGGTGGTGGTGGTGGTGGGTAGGGTGGATGGGGTAGGGTGGGTGGGTGGGTAGGTGGGAGGGTGGGAGGGTGGATGGGTGGGTGGGTAGGGTGGGTGGGTGGGTGGATGGATAGATAAAAGGATAGATAGATACAGATAGAGATAATTTTCAGAGGCAAAAGAAACAAAGAAAAATATAGCGGTAATGATTTATGTAGAATAGTTTTTCACCATGACACAAACTAACCTAGTAATACTAGCAACTAGCAACTATATTATTAGTGGAGATATCAATACTCTTATTATATATATATATATATATATATATATATATATATATATATATATATATATATATATATAGAGAGAGAGAGAGAGAAATTAAAATCAAGCGATTCCGTATAAATTTGAGGATATTAGCATTAAAAGCAGATTCCTTCCATTGCATCAACATTTTCGTAAAATACAAGTCCTTGGGAGTACACGAAATACCATTCAGTAAAAATAGGGAAAAAGCCATTAATACTATACTTTAGTAGGTCTCAAGCATGATCCATGGCCTCTCGTGGTAGGTAGGCTAATTTATCTCTACTCTAGGAACAATAGCAGCTATTACTAGCCTACTCACTAGCCTCAGTATAAAGACCAACCCTTCTTCTTGGAACGTACGAACCATGGAACAGCCTTATCAACTCTGATACAAACGATGTCTGTGTTATTTAATTATCAAATTATTTCTAATTTATCTCTACTCTAGGAATAATAGCAGCCATTACTAGCCTACTCACTAGCCTCAGTATAAAGACCAACCCTTCTATTTGGGACGTACGAACCATGGAACAGCCTTATCAACTCTAATACAAACGATGTCTGTGTTATTTAATTATTAAATTATTTCTAATTTATCTCTACTCTAGGAATAATAGCAGCCATTACTAGCCTACTCACTAGCCTCAGTATAAAGACCAACCCTTCTATTTGGGACGTACGAACCATGGAACAAGCTTATCAACTCTAATTCACACGATGTCTGTGTTAATTATTAAATTATTTCTAATTTATCTCTACTCTAGGAATAATAGCAGCCAGTACTAGCCTACTCACTAGCCGCAGTAAAAGACCAACCCATCTTTGGAACGTACGAACCATGGAACAGCCTTATCAACTCAAATACAAACGATGTCTGTGTTATTTAATTATCAAATTATTTCTAATTTATCTCTACTCTAGGAATAATAGCAGCCATTACTAGCCTACTCACTAGCCTCAGTATAAAGACCAACCCTTCTTGGAACGTACGAACCATGGAACAAGCTTATCAACTCTAATACAAACGATGTCTGTGTTATTTAATTATCAAATTATTTCTAATTTATCTCTACTCTAGGAATAATAGCAGCCATTACTAGCCTACTCACTAGCCTCAGTATAAAGACCAACCGTTCTTTGGACGTACGAACCATGGAACAAGCTTATCAACTCTAATACAAACGATGTCTGTGTTATTTAATTATCAAATTATTTCTAATTTATCTCTACTCTAGGAATAATAGCAGCCATTACTAGCCCACTCACTAGCCTCAGTATAAAGACCAAACCTTCTATTTGGGACGTACGAACCATGGAACAGCCTTATCAACTCTAATACAAACGATGTCTGTGTTATTTAATTATTAAATTATTTCTAATTTATCTCTACTCTAGGAATAATAGCAGCCATTACTAGCCTACTCACTAGCCTCAGTATAAAGACCAACCCTTCTATTTGGGACGTACGAACCATGGAACAAGCTTATCAACTCTAATTCACACGATGTCTGTGTTTTTAATTATTAAATTATTTCTAATTTATCTCTACTCTAGGAATAATAGCAGCCAGTACTAGCCTACTCACTAGCCTCAGTAAAAAGACCAACCCTTCTTTGGAACGTACGAACCATGGAACAAGCCTTATCAACTCTAATACAAACGATGTCTGTGTTATTTAATTATCAAATTATTTCTAATTTATCTCTACTCTAGGAATAATAGCAGCCATTACTAGCCTACTCACTAGCCTCAGTATAAAGACCAACCCTTCTTGGAACGTACGAACCATGGAACAAGCTTATCAACTCTAATACAAACGATGTCTGTGTTATTTAATTATTAAATTATTTCTAATTTATCTCTACTCTGGGAATAATAGCAGCCATTACTAGCCTACTCACTAGCCTCAGTATAAAGACCAACCTTCTTTGGACGTACGAACCATGGAACAAGCTTATCAACTCTAATACAAACGATGTCTGTGTATTTAATTATCAAATTATTTCTAATTTATCTCTACTCTAGGAATAATAGCAGCCATTACTAGCCCACTCACTAGCCTCAGTATAAAGACCAACCCTTCTTGGAACGTACGAACCATGGAACAAGCTTAACAACTCGAATACAAACAATGTCTGTGTTATTTAATTATCAAATTATTTCTAATTTATCTCTACTCTAGGATAATAGCCAGTACTAGCCTCACTAGCCGCAGTAAAAAGACCAACTCTTCTTCTTGGACGTACGAACCATGGAACAAGCTTATCAACTCTAATACAAACGATGTCTGTGTTATTTAATTATCAAATTATTTCTAATTTATCTCTACTCTAGGAATAATAGCAGCCATTACTAGCCTACTCACTAGCCTCAGTATAAAAAACCATCCCTTCTATTTGGACGTACGAACCATGGAACAAGCTTATCAACTCTAATTCACACGATGTCTGTGTTATTTAATATTAAATTATTTCTAATTTATCTCTACTCTAGGAATAATAGCAGCCATTACTAGCCTACTCACTAGCCTCAGTATAAAGACCAACCCTCTTCTTGGACGTACGAACCATGGAACAAGCTTATCAACTCTAATTCACACGATGTCTGTGTTATTTAATTATAAATATTTCTAATTTATCTCTACTCTAGGAATAATAGCAGCCATTACTAGCCTACTCACTAGCCTCAGTATAAAGACCAACCCTTCTCTGGACGTACGAACCATGGAACGAGCTTAACAACTCGAATACAAACGATGTCTGTGTTATTTAATTATCAAATTATTTCTAATTTATCTCTACTCTAGGAATAATAGCAGCCATTACTAGCCTACTCACTAGCCTCAGTATAAAAACCATCCCTTCTATTTGGGACGTACGAACCATGGAAACAGCCTTATCAACTCTAATTCACACGATGTCTGTGTTTTTAATTATTAAATCATTTCTAATTTATCTCTACTCTAGGAATAATAGCAGCCATTACTAGCCTACTCACTAGCCTCAGTATAAAGACCAACCGTTCTTTGGACGTACGAACCATGGAACGAGCTTAACAACTCGAATACAAACGATGTCTGTGTTATTTAATTATCAAATTATTTCTAATTTATCTCTACTCTAGGAATAATAGCAGCCATTACTAGCCTACTCACTAGCCTCAGTATAAAGACCAACCCTTCTATTTGGGACGTACGAACCATGGAACAAGCTTATCAACTCTAATTCACACGATGTCTGTGTTTTTAATTATTAAATTATTTCTAATTTATCTCTACTCTAGGAATAATAGCAGCCATTACTAGCCTACTCACTAGCCTCAGTAAAAAGACCAACTCTTCTTCTTGGGACGTACGAACCATGGAACAGCCTTATCAACTCTAATACAAACGATGTCTGTGTTATTTAATTATCAAATTATTTCTAATTTATCTCTACTCTAGGAATAATAGCAGCCATTACTAGCCTACTCACTAGCCTCAGTATAAAGACCAACCCTTCTATTTGGGACGTACGAACCATGGAACAAGCTTATCAACTCTAATACAAACGATGTCTGTGTTATTTAATTATCAAATTATTTCTAATTTATCTCTACTCTAGGAATAATAGCAGCCATTACTAGCCTACTCACTAGCCTCAGTAAAAAGACCAACCCTTCTTGGAACGTACGAACCATGGAACAAGCTTAACAACTCTAATACAAACGATGTCTGTGTTATTTAATTATTATCATTTCTAATTTATCTCTACTCTAGGAATAATAGCAGCCAGTACTAGCCTACTCACTAGCCTCAGTATAAAGACCAACCCTTCTATTTGGGACGTACGAACCATGGAACAAGCTTAACAACTCGAATACAAACAATGTCTGTGTGTAACTTACCACCTAAGGCGTATTTATTGGAGAGTCGGATGAGGCTGTTCCCTTTGAACCAGGCCACGTCCGGTTCGGGGTAACCACTGGCATGGCAAGATATTGTCACCTCGGATCCCAGCTGGACACTCGTGCTTGTTGTCGTCACTTTGGCCTCGACAGGAGCTGAAACAGGGGTGGGGGTGAGACAGAGGGGGATACAATCGAATTTTGTTTTTGTATTATGATATGCTGTAGGATCTTTTGAAGTTATGGGATTTTAACAGTGAATTTGTATTCCGCATTGTTCTGTTTAATCTTGTATATTATTCTGATTTGCTTTCTTCATCGTTCAAATATTATTATGGTGGTCTACGCATACAATAAATCTCATCATAAATTTCAGGTTCGTCTGCATTCAGCTAAGTTTCTTTCCAATTGGCCATTTTGCCTTCCCGGGTAAACCTAAGTAAAAAAAAAGACGAGAAAAAACAAGTCCCCTTCACAAATATACTCCACATACGCTTCCTTCCCACCCCCGACCACGCCCCTTTCATGGCAATTCCTGCATTAAAACTACGAGCATATGAAATCTTTTTATATACCGATATACTGTTTAACTCAAAATATGCACGCTGTAATGATGCAATTTTAGTCTGTTTGATGTTTCCTCAACGATTGGTAAAAGGGGAATTCTAGTTGACAGAAAAAAAAGAATAGTCATAACAATGTTGACAGCCTACGACGTGAAAAAAAAGAAAAAATAAGTTTTATAACACATAGATTATGGATCAGTGACCACTAATGAAATCATTTGGGTGACCTGCCACGGGCCGTGCACCGGGAGACATCAGAGGACTAACAGCTTGAGTTTCGTTAACCTATGTAAAAATCATTTAGCAAGTGAAGTAGTTTATATATACATATGTATTTATATATATATATACTATATATATATATATATATATATATATATATATATATATATATATATATATATATATATATATATATATATATATATATTATATATATATATATATATATCTGTACCAGGGGCGTCATTTCAATTTTTCTTGGTGTGGGGGGGGCGAAGGAGGTTAGGTGAGTGAAGCAAACAGGAATTTAGACAAAAAAATAGCCATTCCGAAGGAGTTTTAAGCTATAACCAGACATATATCGGTGAACTTATGCAAAAAACAAAAATAAATCAATAAAAAAGGTCTTGGGATTAACAGCCCCCTAGTCCTCAACCCCCTAACTGACGTCCTTGGTGTGTGTGTACGTGTATTCACAATAATAATAACGACCACAATGATAAGGAAAAAAAGAGATTACACTACTGGGCGAATCAGCAACCTTCAGCATTGTTGAGCAGGTGCTGCCCGTACAGAGGAATCTGGTTGGCGAGAGTGCAGGAGCGGCAGCAATAACGTGCGTAGTAAGCCGCTTTGTTGCACAACCCGTACTGCACGACGAGACCGCAGCCGTTGTACACGTTGTTGTCAGAGCAGTTGGGATGCAGTGCAACTCCTGGGGAAGAAGGAGGGTCGGGTTGTCAGAGGTTATTGAATCAACATGTATATTCGTAATAGACAGACAGAGAGAGAGAGAGAGAGAGAGAATGAATGAGCGAAAACGAGAGAGAGAGGAAGAGACAGAGAGAAGGGAAGAGAGAGAGAGGTTTAAACACATGAATAACAATGATGAACCAATATTAAGAATAATATTAACAATAATAATAATGATGATAACAGCAACAACAATCATAATCATAAAAATGATAACGATAATAATGACAATAATAAAAATGATGTGTGTGTGTGTGTGTGAAGGTGAGGATGGTCCATGAATGCACTTGCTGAAAACTGTTTCCTCTTGACTGCGAGACCACAACGCAGAAATGCAGATGAGCTTTTATGTTTGATGTTTTATTCAACCTCTTCTTATATTTCAGGTTTATATCGTGAACTCTAACTCAGCCACTATAAAAGATAGCTAAATCACCATTTATTATTCTGAACCATTGTGAAATCAAGGACGTATTGCTATTGAAACCAAGTGTTCAAAGCTTTCAGAGCTCCTGGAGAGAGGAATTCGTCGAGCTACTCCACCTTTTCATATTCGTCGAGCTACTCCACCTTTTCATAGTCGTCGAGCTACTCCACCTTTTCATATAATCATAACCTTATCCTATGATGGTATTACTGCATTTAATTATTTATGATTTATGGAATCTTATCTCTGTCATGGATAAGCACAGACGCCTAGCAATTAAAAGAAAGGTTTACTTGTCTCTCTAACTTTCTCTCTCTCTCTCTCTCTCTCTCTCTCTCTCTCTCTCTCTCTCTCTCTCTCTCTCTCTCTCTCTCTCTCTCTCTCTCTCTCTCTCTCTCTCTCTCTCCAAAAAACAAATGTTCAAAGTTAGCAGTTGATTCATCTTACTGTCATTTTGGTTATAAAATTATTTGAAAGATATGATATAGTAGGTGTGAATTAACGATGATGTTTCAGAAACAACTAAAGGTAGATTACGGTGTTCCACAAGGGTCAATATTAGGTCCAATTCTATTTCTAATATAAATGATATGTCACAGCATATGCATGAAGGCGTATTGGCAGATGAAGCCCAGTTTTTATTAGCATACACTAAAGAAAACATCGAAAATTTGGTTAAAAATGCTGAGCGTATATTATGTAAAACCAAGAACGGTTTCCTGCTAAATGCAAAGAAGACTCAGTGTAGGCCTATGTTTACAGGCACGACTACGGATCAAGGTAAGCACACAGGTAAAAAAAATATAGGCCTATACATACATCGTCATCTGCTATTCAATGTTCATATTGATGAGATGTGTAAAAAAAATAAATAAATAAAAGAAAGAAATATTGGAATTTAGATAAAACTACTCGGCATCAAGTTGTTCAGGCACTGATTTTGAGCATTGTTGAGTACTCTTAACTAATATGGGGAATAACCAATGCTACTCAGACAGAAAGAGCACAAAAACAAAATTTTGCAGCCTAACAATATCAGCCCGATCATTAAAAAGTTCCAGTTGTTAAACATTAAAGAAACATATATGTGTGTGTGTGAGTGTGCGTGTGTGTGTGTGTGTGGTGGTGTGTGTGGTGTGTGTGTGTGTGTGTGTGTGTGTGTGTGTGCGTGGTTCATTGGTGTATAGAATCACGAACTGGAATTTAACGGACTGGCTCTTGACTTTTCTGTGGAAGGAGGGAACAATGTCAGAACACAACAGACCAGTAGCCTGAGAGTGAAACGTCTTCGAATGGAACTCGGATCAAAACATCTAAAATTAATAGGACCAACTTTGCGAAGTCATTGGCTAATGTAGGTTAGAAAAGCAAGTACACTATTATCGTTAAAGACGGGGTATAACTAAGGAAAATCACTCTGTGTATTATATTTATAGAATGTAAATTTGTACAATATTGCAAGGAATTATTGGGATACGATATTTTTTATTTATATTGTATGTCATTTATTACAATATTCCTAATTACCTGATATGTAAGGATTTCCAAAATTAGAATAACTACAATAATTAATCGAATGCCATGTATATTTTATATTCTATATTGCATATTG